TGTTAGATCATTGGGCATACCAATGAGATCGATACAACTAATTTATAGATATTATAAATCAACAAAAATATCACACGTATTTTCTGTATATGGAATTAATATTCATGTAAGTGTATGGTTGATACAAATATAGTATATCGAAGATATGAATAGATTAAATATTGTTTCTATGGAAGAATTGGAAGATGTAATTATCAAAACAAAAAGAAGAACTGCAAGAGGATATAAGTAACATAGGAATTCACAAATCGATCGTACATGTATGTTTGAATAATATTTAAGCTCTGAAAATGGAGAGACGTAGATGCTTGTAAAAAAAAAAAACAAATTGGAGAGAAGTAATCACTATTTTATTATTTACTTTTGAAAAAGATCATAGAGGGTTTACGTCACACTTGGAGGAGATTGTAACACGACATGACCAAAAATTAAATTAGACTGGCAAATAAAACGAAAGCGAAATAAATGTCAAAAAACAAACAAAATAAATATATTTTTTCATAAAGAACAAAATAAATATATTTTTTCATAAAGAACAAAATAAATATTAATAAAATAAGTGTAAATATATTAAATACTAGAATTTAAGAGTAGAAGTCTAATTAAGGCCCACTAGAACTTAACTTAATTTATTTAATGGACACCGACTCTATCTATGCATAGCTGAAAAAATTATCATCGATATGAATTTTATATATGTTACAATAATACCATAACCTCACAATGAGCTAAAAGTCGTGAATGTGATGACATATTATTAGTATATTGAACTCGCAAGTTGCATAAATATAATAATGTTCTTTTTCTTTTTACGAAAAATAAAATGGTCACACAGATAATTAGATTTAATGTTTTTTCAATGAAGAATACAGATTAGTTAAAAGATGACATCTAATTTTAATTAATTATTTCTGTGAAAACTTTAGGTTACGTATGATTCGGTTAGGTCTTTAATTCATTTAATTGTTGTGAGCGTTTTCTTTTCTGTCCATGACGGAAGCAGCAAAGGGTTCTATCTTTTTGTAATTAACCAATCAATACTAGTAATTCTGTAGATTTAATTATTGAAACCTTGTTATTTCTTATGATTAGTGTTAATTATTTGACATTTTGTTTTCTTATAAGCTATGATTAATATTGATTGATTGATACTGGTTCACGAGGTGCGGACATGGACAGCTCACACGCTTTAATACTAAGTTACTAAAAGTTGACTGTATGTATCTAATTCACATTGTGCTTACATTTTACATGAAAATCCAATTAAGCATAAAATATCAATTTTAACGTCTGCTATTGTTCATTCGTTATGAGAAACGTCAGTATAAAATATCAATATATTAAAAATTGCAAACCAGAAATGAAAGTCACTG